ATAGGATCCAGAATTGTGGTTAACGCATAGCATGGCGTGTGATCCTTGTTTAATTTTACATAACTATGCATAATTATATCCTTACAATTGTTAGATGCAATTCTAGTTAAAAATGTATCCAAATATAGTTATTTAAAGAATATTCATTTAATAGTGAATTGTAATGTATTGCAGTGTATTGGGTGCAGTGGTAACGCTTATGTGACAGTAGCCAAAGAAGGAGCAATAGCTCATGCGGTCGGGCCATGGATTTGGGGACTGGTATTGATTATTATGCTATTTATTAATTGTATGACAAAATGTTTATAATTTTGTTAGTCTCTTACAGCCGGCATATATGTATGCGGAGGTGTTTCCGGTAAAATGTTTACAAATTAAAATAAATTGAATAATTATAATTCATAAAATAAACTGTTGCCATACAGGGGGTCACGTGAACCCAGCGGTCACTTTGGGAATGGCATCCATAGGAAAGCTCCCGTGGCGTAAAGTATTTCACTATTTTTTGGCTCAATATATCGGGGCTTTCATTGCGGCCGTCATTACGTATGTTGTCTATAGAGAAGCCATTCTCTATCAGTTTGACGGAAAACTGCTAACCACTGGTCCGAACGCAACCGCCGGCATATTTGGCACTTTTCCTGCGCCCGGGATTACCACTGGAACTGCTATTATAGATCAGGTATTTCAGTCTCATATAAACAAATATCATTTAATATGTTATGAAATAGTGTATTCCTAAATGTGAAAAATGAATACTTGCCATTTATGATCATTAAATTTAGTCTTTTACTTGATATCCAGTTTTAAATTTCAAAATATTTGTTTAAATTCAATATATTTAAAAGAGATAACAATATATAATTGTCTTACAGATCGTTTCGGTTGCTTTCTTTCTGCTTCTAATCAATGCCATAACGGATGAGAGGAATATGGCCTGTCCTAAAGGTTACTACTTTATATTTATACATCATTTTTGCAATTTTATACAATATTTTTTATTATATTTAACTGTAATATCGAATTCACAATTAGTGTAATACTGTATTGAGTTAGCTACTTTACTATTGATTTAATAATCCAGAAGTACAGTATTTGTATAAATTTTAAAACATAACTAAATTTAGACCTATTTGTGTTTAACAAATAGTAAAAATGTAATTTATTTGTTTGATTCAAGGGTTGGTTCCGATAGCCATTGGAATGACAAACTTGGGTTTATTGGTGTTTTCATTTGGGTATAACTGCGGCGGACCTATAAATCCCGCCCGAGATTTTAGCCCCCGATTGTTCTCAGCGATGGCCGGTTGGGGTACAGATGTCTTCTCGTAAGAAATCATTAATTATTTGTCAATAAGTATTCAAAGAGTTTTAAAAAAAGTTGTTTTTATTATTGTAAATGGGTTATAATTAGAGTCTCTATTTTTCGGGAATTCCCGATTTTCCCGATTTTGGCACTTTTTGAGAAAGATTTTTTTATCAAAATACTAATGAATTTGCTCACAGAATACCAAAACTTGCTGCAAAATTAAGATTATTAATTATTTTTGCATCAATAAATGTCATTATTTTGCTTCGTTAGTGCATATAAACNTGAGAAAGATTTTTTTATCAAAATACTAATGAATTTGCTCACAGAATACCAAAACTTGCTGCAAAATTAAGATTATTAATTATTTTTGCATCAATAAATGTCATTATTTTGCTTCGTTAGTGCATATAAACTTTTTAAAAATCACTTAAATACATAATTATTATGTGAAAATCCAATTAAAACGTAATTCCCGATTTTGGCCATGTATACTCCCGAATTCACATGTTTTTATTCCCGAAAAATCGAGACTCTAGTTATAATCTACAATACAATGACTATTACACTTACCATAACAATAATAAAATGTTTGTTATCGTCTTAATTATCAGTTTTGTCTTTTAATAAAGCGCTTAACTTTTAATTAAGTATTAAAGATATAAAAGTGTTGAAAAATGTTAATTTATGAGTTTTATATCATTAATTTTTTAAGAGTCTATCAATTATATCCTTATATACACAACACTTTTTAGTGTTATTTGTTTAAGAATTAATTGGTTTAATAATTGCATAAAATGTGATAAACCTTTTTATTATATGATTAAAATAACAAAGTAGTGATAATATAATTTGTGTTGCTTTCAGAGTTAACAGTTACGGATACTTTTGGGTGCCATTCATTGGTTGCCATATCGGAGGAATAGTCGGCTGTTGGATATATAAGCTCTTCATTGAGAATCATTGGCCAAAAGAGTCGTACGA